CATTGCATTGCCAATTCAAATTTCAAACACCATTCTCCTCGATAATTAGCCAACCTACTCCACCTAATAAGCCACTATTAATAAGAGGTAGAGACATGATTCTTATCGGTAACTAGCCCACCATCCCACCTACCAAGACACTGTTTATTGTACTTGGAGACATGATCTTTGTCGGTGAATTACCGACGTGAGTTACTAGAAAAGAACTCTGATAGTACTATTCCAGGACAACTTTGGACACATGTTTTTTGTCGGTAATTTGGAGTGATCTTACTGATGTAACCTTTATCCACGTCGGTAAATGAATTACCGAGGCCACTTTCATCGAGGACTCAATTACCGACATGATCCTTATCGAAAAATTGCTTTACGGACGTGATTTCCTTTCTTTCCAACATGATTTCACGTTGGGAAATTTATGAATTCTAGTAGTGATCTTTGCTATTTCACTAGCATTGACCATTGTCTTTCTCTCGATTGATGCTAGACCACTTGAATTCGCCATGCCAATTGCCATTTCCAACTTTGGAACACTAGCAAGAGGCCCTGTTCCTCCCTCTGGACCAATCAATCCGTCTCCTCCCCCAACAACAACAGGTGTTTCCCATGCCGGCTTTTAGGCCTTGTCTAATTCTTGATTTTAATTATCAATGAATTGAAGAAAGAATGATTGCTTAGTCCGGTAACAATTTCCAATGAAATCTAAGGGCAGCTTAATTTTTAATTAGAAGTTAGTGAGCTAGTGCAATTTATGTATGAGCCTTTAATAGAACCAATAGTGCTAACAGTTTAGAATGTACTGGTATTCATTTGATGACTTCTTTACCAATTCCTTCTTCACCAACGCATTCTTTCCCTTGATTGCTCGATCTCTTCTTGTCCTCATCAAAAGTTTATGGCATTGTCGTCTTCAGAGTAAGTAATTTTGATGACCACTGCTATTCCATAGTAGCCAGCAAACGCAACGCTATTAATTATTGGAGAGGAGTATTAGTTAGTATAATATTGTTAAAAAGTGGAAATAATAATGTTATATATATATGGGATTCACTATACCACATTTATACAGATCTCAATTATTTATTTTTTTACTTTCAATGGTTATGATTTATTATAATTTTTTAAATAAAAAATAATTATTTTTAATAAATATAAATAAATATTAATTATTAAAAATAAAAAGTTGAATAATTGAGATTTTGTATAAATATAATACATAAGCTTTATTTGTAAATAAATTGCTTCAAGCTTTGAGAACTCTAGTTTCTTCTGAAGCTAGAAAGTTTGCCATATTTATTAAAAAAGAAGAAGAAGCAATATTAGAATATAATACAAAGAAGAGGAAATGTGAATTTGTATTTGTGGCCTAAATTTAGAATATACGTACAATTATTGTTACTTACACAACCAAAAGAAATACCCCTGTAATTTGCTGAGTTCCATATACCAGTACTATTACGCCAACAAGTATATATGACGGGAAATCCGGACGAGCAGACACTGCGGTAACCTCGTCATGGCCCCCTAGTGTTTGGACGTACGTTTTAGTTTTATAATCCCATACCTGTTTACATATATAATTACATAATTAACAATCAATCAAGATAATTTATTGAAAATGTAAGAGTAGCTAAATAAATAAAATAATAAATATACATTTTTCTATTTGATATTGGTGATTAGAATATTTCTAAATTAACTTTTACATATTTTAAAACTAATCCCTTTCTAGTTCTATTAAAGGCAAGTTATTCATATTAGAATTAGAGAATTTATAAGAAATTAGTTTGTAATTAACCTCACTAAAGAATAAATACTAAATATACATTAAATGTATATATACATGGTTAAGAAGAGGAAATTAAAAGAATGCAGTAAATGTGCGAACCTCAATGGAATTATGTTATTCTGGTAAGTTAGTAGATAAAGTTCAGCACCAGCCATAAAAATGTCAATGTAATTCAACTGATCACATACTCTAAACCCAAGTATTGGATGAGGCGAGTCAACATTCCAAATCTGAACTAAAGAAATTGTTGTAACTTCAATTATAAAACATCTAAACTTAAATTCAGTATTTTTAATATTTTTTGTTTTGGATTCAAATGCTCATGTACACACAAAAGCACACACAT